AGGTGGCAGTCATGCACTGCAGAGGACACCAGTGAGCTTCCACCTTGATTGCCTTGGGGAACTCCTGAGCTGACTCAGAGGCTCTAAAAGCAGCATCCACCCCCTACCAGGCAGCAGTCACAGCCCCCCTTCTCCCTTAGGCACCTGACCTTGTATCCACTCATTCTAAAGAGAAGGACTTTCTCCAGGCAGACGGAGGGCAGGTGATAGAAGAGGGATGGATCTGGTTATGGGACAGAAGAATAGCCGTGCCGCAGTTGCTAGGAGCCGCAGTCGTACTGGCTGTACACAAGACTACCCACCTAGGCCAAGAGTCACTTGAAAAGTTGTTAAACCGGTACTTCTACATCTCTGGCATCTGTCAGCCCCTGCCAAAACAGTGACACAGCAGTGTGCCACCTGCCGACAGCACAATGCTAGGCAAGGTCCAACCGTCCCGCCCGGCATACAAGCTTACGGAGCAGCCCCCTTCGAAGATCTCCAAGTACACTTCATCGAGATGTCCAAATGTGGAAGTAACAAGTATTTGCTAGTTCTAGTGTGCACATACTCTGGGTGGGTGGAGGCCTATCCAACATGGACTGAGAAATCTTGTGAAGTAACCCGTGTGCTTCTCCGAGATCTCATCCCAGGTTTGGACAGCTCGGACAATGGGCCGGCGTTTGTGGCTGATTTGGTACAGAAGACAGCAAAAGTATTGGGGATCACATGGAAACTACATGCCGCTTACCGACCACAGAGTTCCGGAAAGGTGGAGCGGATAAATCGGACTATCAAAAATAGTTTAGGGAAAGTGTGTCAAGAAACAGGATTAAAGTGAGTACAAGCTCTCCCTATCGTATTGTTTAAGATTAGATGTACCCCTTCTAAAAAAACACAAGATATTCCCCTTATGAGACATTATATCATAGGCCTCCTCCCATACTGCGGAAACTCCCAGGCCCTCCTCCAGAGCTAGGTGAAATTGAGTTACAGCGACAGCAACAGGCTAAAGCCTGTTTTCCCTAAAGGGAAAATTACATAAACAATTTTAGCCTGGGTAAATGAGAGGTGCCCTGTCAGCTTATTCTCCCCAGTTCACCATTTCTCCCCAGGTGATACGGTGTGGATCAAGGATTGGAATGTAGTCCCCTTGCGACCACAGTGGAAAGGATCCCAGACCATCATCTTGACCACTCCCACAGTCATAAAGGTAGAGGGAATCCCCGCCTGGATCCACCACAGCCGTGTAAAACCTGCAGCACCTGAGACATGGGAGGCGAGCCTAAGCCCAGACAACCCCTGCAAAGTGACTCTGAAGAGGACAACAAGCCCTAATCCAGTCAAAACCAGAAGCTGACTGGTCCATGCACAGCTGAAGCATGAGGAAATTCATCATGGGACTCATTTTCCTTAAATTTTGGACTTGTACAGTAAGGACTTCAACTGACCTTCCTCAGACTGAGGATTGTTCCCAGTGTATACATCAAGTCACTGAGGTAGGACAAAAGGTTGCTGCAGTCCTATTATTTTATAGTTATTATGAGTGTATCAGGACTCTAAAAGGAACTTGTTTGTATAATGCTACTCTACACAAGGTATGTAGCCCGGGAAGTGACCAGCCTGATGTGTGCTATAACCCATCTGAGCCCCCTATGACTACCGTTTTTGAAATAAGATTGAAGACTGGCAGCTGGGGAAAAGCTGATACAAGTAAAGTAATAACTAGAACAGAAGAAAAAGGAGTCCCCAAACAAATTATCTTAGAACTTGACGCCTGTACAGCAATCAACAGTGACCTGTATGGAAATGGAAAAAGATGTGGCTCTCTAGACTGGGAAAGAGGCTATATAGTAGAAAATAAGTTTTGTTTGTCATGAATTAGGACTGTGTAGTGATGAATGTAGTTACTGGTCCTGTGTCATTTAGGCCACCTGTAAAAAAGATGAGAAGGACCCTGTCCGCCTTCAAAAAGGAAAGAATAACTTCCTGCACTAGAGGTCACTGTAACCCATTAGAACTACTAATTACCGGCCGGGCCTGGTGGCTCATGCCTGTAATCCCAGCACTTTGGGAGGCCGAGACAGGCGGATCACGAGGTCGGGAGATCGAGACCATCCTGGCTAACACGGTGAAACCCTGTCTCTACTAAAAATACAAAAAATTAGCCGGGCATGTTGGCAGGAGCCTGTAGTCCCAGCTACTTGGGAGGCTGAGGCAGGAGAATGGCGTGAACCCAAGAGGCAGAGCTTGCAGTGAGCCAAGATTGCGCCACTGCACTCCAGCCTGGGCAACAGAGTGAGACTCTATCTCCAAAAAAAAAAAAAAAAAAGATAAACTGCTAATTACCAATCCCCTTGATCCCCCTTGGAAAACAGGAGAGTATGTAACTCTAGGAATCAATGGAACTGGACTGGATCCCCGAGTAAATATTTTAGTCCAAGGGGAAGTCCACAGGTGCCCTCCCAAACCAGTATTTCAGACCTTTTCTGATGAGCTGAATCTGCCAGCACCAGAGCCTCCACAAAAAAAGTCAAAGAACTTGTTTCTCCAGTTAGCAGAAAATGTAGCTCATTCCTTCAATGTTACTTCATAGCTACATGTGGGGGAACCACTTGTGAGACCGATGGCCTTGGGAAGCCTGAGAATTGGTGCTTACTGATCCAGTTCCTGACATAGTCCTAGTCCAGGAGGCCCAAACTAGCAACTTCTGGGTCTTGAAAACCTTGATTATTGGACAATACTGCATAGCTAGAGAAGGGAAAGACTTCACCATCCCCGTAGGAAGGCTCAATTGTCTAGGACAGAAGCTGTGTAACAGCACAACAGGGACAGTCACCTGTTGGGGCCTAAACCATACTGAAAATAACCCATTCAGTAAGTTTCCTAAGTTGCTGTTCGGGCCCATCCAGAACTTCATCGGGACTGGATGGCTCCCACTGGACTGTATTGGATATGTGGGCATGGAGCCTACACCAAATAACCTGACCAATGGACAGGGAGTTGTGTCATTGGCACCATTAAGCCATCCTTTCTCCTACTGCCCGTAAAAACAGGTGAGCTCCTAGGTTTCCCTGTCTATGCCTCCTGAAAAAAAGGAGCACAGCTATAGGAAATTGGAAAGAGGAGTGGCTCACACAGTACTATAGGCCTGCCACGTGGGTGCAAGACAGCTCGTGGGGATACTGAACCCCCATCTACATGCTCAACTGGATCTTTTTTTTTTTCTTGAGACGGAGTCTCGCTCTGTCGCCCAGGCTGGAGTGCAGTGGCCGATCTCAGCTCACTGCAAGCTCTGCCTCCTGGGTTTACGCCATTCTCCTGCCTCAGCTTTGCGAGTAGCTGGGACTACAGGCGCCCGCCACCTCGCCCGGCTAGTTTTTTGTATTTTTTTTTTAGTACAGTCGGGGTTTCACCGTGTTAGCCAGGATGGTCTCAATCTCCTGACCTCGTGATCCGCCCGTCTGGCCTCCCAAAGTGCTGGGATTACAGGCTTGAGCCACCGCGCCTGGCCGCTCAACTGGATCTTACAGTTACATGCCGTCTTAGAAATAATCACTAATGAAACTGGCAGAGCTTTGACTCTTAGCCTGGCAGGAAACCCAAATGAGAAATGCCATCTATCAGAGTAGATTGGCCTTAGACTATTTGCTGGCAGCTGAAGGAGTCGTCTGTGGAAAATTCAACTTGACCAATTGCTATCTGCAAATAGATGATCAAGGACAAGTAGTTGAAGATATAGTTAGAGACATGACAAAGCTGGCACATGTGCCTGTGCAGGTTTGGCATGGGTTTGATCCTGGATCCCTGTTTGGAAAGTGGTTTCCAGCTCTAGGAGATTTAAAACTCTTATAATAGGTATAGCAGTAGTGATAGGAACCTGCCTATTGCTCCCTTGATTGTTAGTCATATTTCTCTAACTACTAAGAAGTTGTTACTACCTTGATTCATCAGAAAACTTCAGCACAAGTGTATTACATGGATCACTATCAATCTGTCTCACAGGAAGACCTGGGTAGTGAAGACGAGAATGAGAACTCCCACTAGGGAATGAGGTTCTCAAACAGGGGAATGAGGAGAGGCCATTTCTCTTACAGTCTCCTGTCTCCGAAGAGGAGGAAGTAAAAGCTGAAAAACAACACGAATGAAGTCAGTAGCAAAACCAACCGACACCACTGACCAGGCCTGAGGTTAAAGATTAACCCCCCAATTCTAACCATGTGTTACCTATAGATCACTTGCTCAATCTATCAAGACCCTTTCACATGGACCCCCTTAAAGAGTTGTAAGCCCTTAAAAGGGCCAGAACTTTTTCTTCAGGGAGCTTGGCTCTTGAGACGCAAGTCTGCCAACACTCCCGGCCAAATAAAGCCTCTTCCTTCCATAACCCAGTGTCTAAGGGGTTTTGTCTGCGGCTTGTCCTGCTACAAGTAAATTATAGCTGAAACTGAACCTTATTAACTGGTATGTTCAAATTCAATCCACTAGGCAAGAGGCCATTAAAGATAGGGAGAAATGAAAACAACATGCCATGGTATGGACCTTCTCAAGTTATTTTTACCAGTAAAGAAAATGGCCAGGCGTAGTGGGTCACACCTGTAATCCTAGTACTTTGGGAGGCCAAGGTGAGTGGATCACTTGAGCCCAGGAGTTGAGTACCTGCCTGGGCAACACAATGGGACCCTGTCTCTACTAAAAAGAAAAATGGAGACAGCCTAGATGCACTGAAATTTCCAATTATGTGACCCACTGACAGAAAAAAGTATGGATATGCCAGAAGCAGTAACAGAAGTCTAGAATTTATAAATACTGATTTATTTTTGGATTGCCACAGGTCAAGCAAATTCTTCTTAAAAGTTAATTAAAGCATATAAGATTCTAATTTCAGCTTTGTTCTAATAGTTAATCTACTTTTTACCTCACAGAATTGTCTTGATTTTGAAACCCTGGCATTCGGAAACACCCTGACCTCTAGTGTTTCAATGGCTCATTCAATACTTGTATTATAATCAGAAACAGATGCTGGTTGCCTATCTTTATTGTAGTTTCCATATTTGCTTCAATTAATTTACATATAATTACTGTACATGAGAGGTAATGTTATGACAAGAGTAGTTTCTGCAACATTAAGTATGGGTCGGAAAAAAAAGAAATGGGCCAGGCATGGTGGCTCATGCCTGTAATCCCAGCACTTTGGGAGGCCGAGGTGGGAGGATCACGAGGTCAGGAGTTTGAGACCAGCCTGACCAATATGGTGAAACCCCATCTCTACTAAAAAAGCACAAAACTTGGCCAGGAATGGTGGTGTACGCCTGTAATCCCAGCTACTCAGGAGAGGCTGAGGCAGGAGAATTGCTTGGACCCGGGAGGTGGAGGTTGCGGCAAGCTGAGATCATGCCATTGCATTCCAGCCTGGGCAAAAGAGCAAGACTCCATCTCCCCCCAAAAAAAAAGAAATGACTTTAGATAAATAGCTTGAATGAAATTATAAAGAGGAGTGCATTAAAAAATACCAGCAGTAAAATCTCTAGAAGAATTAAAATGACAGACTAAAAATAAATAATAAATGTTCTTTTCAGGAAGTACTAATTTGCTGCTGGCACTCTATATTCTTCTTCTTTGTTTTAATGGATGACTTGTATGTACATCTTCCGGCTTGTCCTCCGGACGCTTTGGCACAGATGAAATTACCTAATTAAAAAAAAAGAACCATTAAAATTTAGTTTTTATAGCACAGGAGTAAAGCTATTAGAAGAGGTAAGACTACATCCAATAGTTCAATCCTTGATGTGGCTTTTGAGGCAGAGTTGGCTTAAGTTCAAGGTACAGCCTATGACCTAGGCACAGAGTGAAGTTTTCTGTTCAAACACTGATGAGAGTAAAATTTCTAAAGCTACTTAAAAAGAAAAAAAATTTGGAGGAAGAAAAGTGAACATATGCTCCACTTTAACATTCCTTTATAGATCTAAAGTCACTTGTTATATTACAGATTCAGATAGATATCCTGGTTTTGCATTCTTGAAACACTGATAATGTCTGATAGATTTGGGGGGATGAAAACATTTGGAGAAATGAACAGGAAGCAGTATAATCCTCAATTTCCTAGGAGAAAAAGGAAAGGCAAACACACTATCAGAGAGAGTGTACAATAAACCAAAGCAAAGAAAGAGTCTTCATTTGAAATGGAAAATTATTAGAAACTATAGTAAACTGTATTTAACATTTTTTTTTGTTGTTCTACTATTTCTGGACCTAGAATTTGGACTTCACACGTTTTTCTTTAAAATGTAATCAGCTCTGGCTGAGACAGCTGCGTATCTATGTCTATGCCTCAGTTCAGCTGCAACTGAAGGAAGGAAGGAAGGGTGGAAGCACAAACTGAAAACCTTTTTTGCTTTTTTTTTTTTTTTTTTTGAGACAGGGTCTCACACTGTCACCCAGGCTGGAGTGCAGTGGTATGATCTTGGCTCACTGCAACCTCCGCCTCCTAGATTCAAGTGATCCTTCCACCTTAGCCTCCCAAGTAGCTACAAGAGTGCACCACCACGCCTGGCTAATTTTTGTATATTTATGGTAAAGATGGGGTTTCATCACATTGGTCAGGCTGGTCTCAGACTCCTGGGCTCAAGCAGTCTGCTCACCTCAGCCTCCCACCTCAGCCTCCCAAAGTGCTGAGATTATTGGTGTGAGCCACTGTCCCCAGCCTAAACTGAAAAACTAAAGGCGGCTTCAAAACTGTGCCCACGGATTTTAATTATTATTAAATAATGTCTCTTTAATCAGATGTTTTCAGGTAAAAAATGTACATATAAGAAATTAAGCTACCTGAGCCTCCCTTAATCACATTGTAAAATACGAGTAAAACTATGTAAAAAGCACTTTCTGCATCTTGGAGTAAGAATAAGAGAATGTCATAACCCTCAGTTTATGATTTGTAACAGTAGCCCCTACGCCTATCCCACAAAAAGGTGTCTTTCGAAAGCTAACTCAGATGTTAACTTTACTTGTGCTTAGGAAATGGAAAATGATTATATAAATGACATAAAAAAAAAAGACTACCTAGGCAGCACAGTCTGATCCTGATCATTTAAGAAGTCTACATTTGAGGCCGGGCGCGGTGGCTTATGCCTGTAATCCCTGTAATCCCAGCACTTTGGGAGGCTGAAGCAGGTGGATCACGAGATCAGGAGATCGAGACCATCCTGGCTAATATGGTGAAACCTCGTCTCTACTAAAAAATACAAAACACTTGCCCTGGCATGGCGGCGGGCACCTGTAGTCCCAGCTACTTGGGAGGCTGAGGCAGAAGAATGGTGTGAACCCAGGAGGCAGAGCTTGCGGCGACTGTAGATCCTGAGCAACAGAGACTCTGTCTCCAATAAATAAATAAATAAATAAAATAAAATAAAGTCTACATTTGAAATGCATACCTAGAGGCCCAATTTTTAGAAATCTCACCTTCTATTGCTCTTTATCACAAAAGCAAATTAAGCATTTTAATTTGATATAAACTGTAATAACTCTAAATTTGAGAGAAATGGAATTTTCCTTCTCAACTTTGGCTCATATTAGAACTACTTGGGGAGCTTTTAACAAAAATGGCAGGCCTGGGCACCACTCTCACAGATTGATTTAATTGGCTGAAACCACTGCTTTAATATTTTGTATCTACAGTGATATAAAATGTTTGTTCATTGTTTAAAGCAAGTATTAACAGTTCAAAGCAAATAAAATGTTAGCCAAATTCAGTTATTTCAACAGAGAACTATAGAAAAACACATCAAAAAACTAAGAAGTGAAAAAAATTACAATACTGTTGTTCCCACAAATAATTCCCCATTTAGTCCTATAACCAAATCGTCTCTTAGAACAGTTTTTAAAAATAACCTTACCTCTTTAAGTTTATTCCGAATTAAATTCGCAGTCGTATTCAATGAGTCATCGTGCATATCCACTTTAGACATGTCTGGTAACAGAGGTCCAATCATAACCTCATTACTACCTGAGTTTGTTTCAAGAAAAGTTCCAAGTTTACGATCATCTTCTCTTCTTCTTTTGCGCTCCTGCAGTTGTGTTGTCCTAGGCATAAATCTGTCAACTGCCTCTGAAGACGTAATAGCCTTTTGCGCACCAGGGTAGGCCACTGAGTTCTTAAAAGTGTTTATCTGTGTTTTCTGCAAAGAGTCATTGTGGTTATAATGCCCTATTGTTTTATGATGATTTCTACCATCCTTAGAGGAGTTTGATGCTCTGTCCACATGTCCGCCGGATGAACACATACATTTTGAGGAGAAATAACATAAAGGCAATTCACAGGAATACGGAAGATAAGGATTTGAGTTCCCTGCAGAAGTGTTCAAAGCAGCTTTACAAAATCCAGACATCTCTGAGTGGAAGTCTTGTCTAAAATCCTCTCTGTCTTTATGCTCTGTAACCAATTTCTTCTTTGTCATGTAATGGTCTTTATATTACAATTTAAAAGTTGAGGGAAAGAGAAACATAAGTGGTTAATTTATTGTTTTCATCATTGAGAATCATATAATTTTTAAAAATCACTTAAAAATGTTAACAAATTATACTCCAAAAAAATTGTTTCTTGAGAAGGGAATATATTCACATGGTTTAAAATGGATAAAAAGATATACAGCATCAAGTGTCACCCTTTCCTTGCTCTCCATGGGTCTGGTTTCATCCCCATAAGTAATCACTATTGTTTTTTATTTATCTGTTCAGTAAGTTTTACTTTGCCACCTCTTTTCTCCCATTCTTTTTCTCCCCACTAAAAAAGGTAAATGTAATATCCATTTCTCTGCACCTCTGCATTTTCCATTTCACTGTAGATCTTATATAGGTTTTCCATCATTATACAGAAAGGTTTTTTTTTGTTTTTTTGTTTTTTTTTAACGATTTCAGAGTATTCCACTATCTGGATGTATCATGCTCCTTAGCTTGTGTTTGTTAGTTACTAAAGAAAGCACTATGCTTGTCCCACTTCTAGGGCTGGCAAGGGCCTCTTCCCTGGTTTACTCTCCCAAAAGCAGTCTACAACATGGAGTGTGGAAGATGTGGTAAAGATGAAATTGGCTATGTGTTGATGATTGCTAATGTTAATATTAATACATGGGAGATGTGTTAACTTCGTCTTTCTGCCTTTGTGTTTTGAAATTTCCAAGCTGGGCACAGTGCCTCACGCCTGTAATCCCAGCACTTTGGGAGGCTGAGGCAGGTGGATCACGAGGTCAGAAGATCAAGACCATCCTGGCTAACACGGCGAAACCCTGTCTTTACTAAATATACAAGAAATTAGCTGGGCATGGTGGCAGGCGCCTGTAGTCCCAGCTACTGGGGAGGCTGAGGTAGGAGAATGGCGTGAACCTGGGAGGCGGAGCTTGCAGTGAGCAGAGATCCCGCCACTGCCCTCCAGCCTGGGGGACAGAGCTAGACTCCGTTTCAAAATAATAATAATAATAATAACAATAACTTCCATAATAAGAGTTTTTGAAAAGTAAGACCAAGTATACAAACGCATCACACAGATGCTAAAATGCTGATGAAAGAGAGCTTAACTGAAGTGTCCAAGGCCAAACAAGTCAGGTTTAATTCTGAGGTCAGCAGCACGGCAAAAAGATCTTAAGAGGAAGGGGAGCAAATAATGAAGATAACCCTAGGCTGTCACACCAACACTGAGATGATTAAAGCAGTTAAAAAGTAAGCTCTGGAGAAAGAGTCCAAAGCTTGGGTTTTAATCCTTATTTTTGTCCTTAATTCATCTCTAATAATATAGGCCGGTCACAAACTTTCTGAGACTTCGTTTCCTCACCAAGAAAAATTAGGACACAGGTCAGATAATGTCAAAGGTCTTTCTCCACATTAATATTTTATAATTTCCTTTGTCATACAAACACATTAAGTTTTCCTGGTGCTATTTATTTACTTATCTTACAAGTTAGAGTTCAATGGATACAGATGACTGGGGATTCTCAACAGCTCTCTTGCCAGATTTCTGAGTAAGTTTTCCAAGAGTTTTCCCACTTTATTTCTCTCTACCACTATCTGGTAGAAGGGGCATATGGGGGCATTTAGTCAATTGCTGGTCAAAAGTAGAACTTCTCCATGATTAGCAGTGACAACTAGTCTGCAAATCATAACTGCTTCTCACTGCATTCTGGTCAAAGCCTTAATTCCTTAGCATGGGACACAAGGCCCTTCATGATTCACTTCTTATCCACTTTTCTAAACTTATCTCTCACTAAAACCTTTGAGCTTTGGTTATACTGTATTAACTAAATTTCCTTAAATGCATGATGCTCATTTATTCCTCTAAACACTTAAACATCCTGCCTGGCTTGCCTTTCCATCTTTTCCTCTCCCTTTTAATGTCTACTTATCCTTCAAATTTCAGCCACTTGTCACACACTGTAGGAAGTCTTCCATGAACCAACATTTCTCCCTTCTCAACCCAGATTATGTAGTGTGCTGCAGAGAACCCGTACAGTTACTGAATACTGTGATGCTTTACTTGCCTCTCCTCCCACTAGACTAGGAATTGCGTGATGACACACCTGGCAGAGTACCTGACATACAGGAGGCATTTAGCAATATGCTTTCCATACCTTTATTTTCAGTAGTTTTTACTACATATGCCTTCCGTACTTGTAGTTTTTTTCTAGTTTCTTCAACTGTTTCAAATTCTGGCGCATAGCACACATGAAGCAATCCACCGAAGAAACTCTGTTCATCCATTTTTCTCTTGGCTGTCCTGAATGGCAATACAAGATAGCATGGTTTTTTAATCTAGATTTACTTGGGATGAAAGCTTAACTAGTATACAATATCTGGATCTAAAGAGCAAAGTCCAACTTTTGCTATGTGTATATATATCCTGTGGATTGGGAATTAAGATGCTCTGCTTGTGGACGGTATTCATCCCATTGTTCCAGTATGTACTTAGAGCCTCCCCTTTTCTTCCCTTCGAGCCTCTTTGTTCCCTAGTCTTTAAACAACTAAGGACCCAGCTGGTTGGCCTGAAGTATGTAAACTGTGGTCATAAAATAGAGCTTTTCTCTGTGGCCCTGAAGAGTTACTTCATACCCAATTAAGCTTTTTCAGTACAATGTATTTCTGTAATGGGATTCTTGCCTTAAAAATCAGATGAAAAATACTATAATCATAAAACGTTCAATAACTGAGGAACTATTAAACATATAACAATGAGAAAATGAGAAGAATGTTATTCAGTCAATAAATACTTACTAAACATCTATGATTGGCCAGGTACTACAATAAATTTAACTACTTCTGTATCCAGGGATAATGATAAATACTTGCTCAGATTTTACCATATGCCAGGCAATGTCGTAAGTGCTTCACTTGAATTAACACCTAACAACAACCCTGTAATGAAACGGAAGCACTGGGACATTACATAACTTAGCCATGCTCATACTCTGGTTTGAGGAGCAAGGATTCAAATCCAGATGTCTTACTTCAGAGCCTACTAGACTACATACTTTGGAAAACAGAAAAGCTCGAGAAAATATTTCTCTAACCATGGGAGCTGGCAGATTGGTTAAGAAAGTGAGATTACATATAACAGCAGCCTGAGAAAACCACACGTGACCCAGTAAAATCAAGTGCTTTTGTGGTAGATTATGAGTTCTACTGATAGCACATGAAAGAAAATATGAATTGTAACAGCCAGAAAAGGATGAGTCTCAGAGCAGATTAGTGAGGAGAACAGAGATCAACATAAAAATAGATAAGGCATTGCATACTTCAGCCTTTTTGGAGCAGAGGGTTTATGTCACATAGAAGGCCAGAAAACACTGAGTCAATCTGCAGAAAGGAGTAGCAGTAGAAACCACAATAGCTAATGCTTACTGTATTCTGACCAGGAGGCACTCTGCTAAACCCTTTATGTGGATTATCTCATTTCACCCTCATACAACCTCAAGAAGTAGATAGGTCCCTTTACCATATAGATTTTACGGAACAGGAAAAACTTAAACAGGTTAAATAACTTGTCCAAGATCACAAAACTAATAAGCAGTGGAAATGGAAAACTTACTCCAAACCCAACATTTTTTTTTCTTTTGAGACACAGTCTCACTCCATCACCCAGGATGGAGTGCAGTGGTCCATAAATGACTCACTGCAACCTCCACCTCCTGGGCTCAACTGGTTCTCCCACCTCAGCCTCCCAAGTAGCTGGGACTATAGGAATGCACTACCACGCCCACCTTGATTTTTGTATTTTTAGCAGAGATAGGGTTTTGCCATGTTGGCCAGTCGGGTCTCGAACTCCTGGGCTCAAGCTGTCTGCCCACCTTGGCCTTCCATAGTGCTGGGATCAAATTCAACTTTTTTTTCTTTTCTTTTTTTTTTTTCTAGGACAGTCTCACTCTTCCCAGGCTGGAGTGCAATGGCATGATCTTGGCTCACTGCAACCTCTACTTTCTGGGTTCAAGTGATCCTTGTGCCTCAGCCTCCCCAAGAGCTGGGATTAAAGGCTTGCACCAACACAGCTGGCTAATTTTTGTATTTAGTAGAGTCAGGGTTTCACCATGTTGGCCAGACTGGTCTTGAACTCCTGACCTCAGGTGATCCGCCTACCTCCACCTCCCAAAGTGCTGGGATTACAGGTGTGAGCCACGTGCCTGGCGCCAAACCCAAATTTTTTCTGTTTTTTTTTTTTTTTTTGAGACGGAGCCTCGCTCTGTCATCCAGGCTGGAGTGCAGTGGTGTGATTTCTGCTCACTGCAATCTCCACCTCCCGGGTTCAAGCGATTCCCATGCCTCAGCCACCTGAGTAGCTGGGACTACAGGTCCACACCACCACACCCGGCTAATTTTTGTATTTCTAGTAGAGCTGGGGTTTCCATCATGTTGGCCAGGCTGGTCTTGAACCCCTGACCTCAAGTGATCTGCCTGCCTCGGTCTCCCAAAGTGCTCTGATTACAGGCGTGAGGCGTGAGTTATTGGTGCCCAGCCCTCAACCCCATTTTTTTTTTTTCTTTGAGGCAGAGATCCCCTCTTGTTGCCCTGGCTGGAGTGCAATGGCGCAATCTCGGCTCACTGCAACCTCTGCCTCCTGGGTTCAAGCAATTCTCCTGCCTCTGCCTCCTGAGTAGCTGGGATTACAGGTATGCGCCACTAGACCCGGCTAATTTTGTATTTTTAGTAGAGACGGGGTTTCACCATGTTGGCCAGGCTGGTCTCAAACTCCTCACCTCGTGATCCGCCCGCCTCGGCCTCCCAGAGTGCTGTGATTGCAGGCGTAAGCCACCGCACCTGGCCAAACCCAACTTTTACTCTACCATGCTACAGGACATTAAATTGTTAAGCATGGGAATGATGTGATGGATACAGTGTTTCAGTAAAGTTAACCTGTAAAAAGGCTGTAGGAAGATACGCTAGATTACATTTCGGGGTAATTCAGATATGAATGAGGGAAACTTGGGGCCAAAATGACAGAAATATGAATGGAGGAAATGAAACCAGTCATTGCTTAACTTGCACCTTACCTTGCACTTTGTAAGTTCATAAATTTAATAAGATAAACTTCAGTAAAGTCTTCTGCTGGGTATTCATCTAGAGCATTGTACTGTTCAATTGCACCATATAAAGCGAATCGCTCAACTAATTCCTTCATGACTCCCACAGCAGGAACTCCTTGTATTAATAAGTACTGAGATTCCAAATTGATTGTATATACCTGAAAGAAATGCATAGTTATTAAACGTATTTCGCAAATAAGCCTAGGACGAATCTGCCTCTTTTTTTTTAAACAGAACTTTGAAAACAAGAAATAATCTGTTCAACCCAGTCAGCAAAAAACACAAAATAAAATTTCTGCCATTCCCCCTGCATAAAGAGTAACAGTCCATGTGAGAGGCTACCTAAGGCATATAACAGACTACCTTCAGTCGACATTTTTTTTCAGAAATTGAGTCGGCAGAAGTCACTGGGAACAATCACTCAACGAATATTCACTGAGCGCTTACCTGTGCCAAGTAGTACTGTAAACACTGAAGATCCAATGACTAAAACCAAGCCCTATTCTCGTGGAGTTGATGTTCTAATAGTTGACCAAAAGGGTCGTGAGAATTTTTGGTACCTGGCCCAGGGTTCTTCACGCCAGCTCTAACGAGCGACAGATCTGACGGAAGCCTTGTCGTGCCTTTATTTCCGTAGGTTAGCCATATGGCGCTAGCGCGCACAAAAAGCTACCGAGGAGAGCGAATGAAACCAAAAATCACTTTACCTTGACAGCACGAGGCCGTCGTCCCTCCCGATATTTGGCCCGCGTGTCGCACACCGCCCTCTGGACGTGGTGGTCAAATAAACTCCCTAACTCCGCACCGCTGGACACCATCTTGCCTACTTTGATCCTCGCAGGGAGGACAACATCCGCCCTGCTGACCTCCCTTTTATCCAATAAGAGAGCGGGATGAGTTAAGGAGTGTCAGGATTGGCTGGAGAATCGACAGCGTCGGCCATCGTTTCCTGCGTGCGAGGATTTGATGAACGAGGTGCCGCCCCCGAGCGGCTTGGCGGAGAGGCGCGGTGGGTGACAGAAGCTTTCTTGTCCCACCCCACTACAGGCTTACGGCGAGACGCGCAGCGGGGAGAGGGGGCGGGGCCTCAGGGGGCGGGGCCGATCGATCTCCTCCGGTTCCGACGTCCTCGGCCTGCCGGGTCCCGTGTCCTTTGCGGCGCTAGGGTGGGCAAACCCAGAGCGACGCTTCGGGACGATGTGGGGCAGCGATCGCCTGGCGGGTGCTGGGGGAGGCGGGGCGGCAGTGACTGTGGCCTTCACCAACGCTCGCGACTGCTTCCTCCACCTGCCGCGGCGTCTCGTGGCCCAGCTGCACCTGCTGCAGGTAACGTGCTGGCCCCGGGCCACCTGATCTTCAGCCTGGGGTCGGACAAGGCCGAAGCCTCTCAGGGACGCGGCGGGACACCGGCTGCCACCCGGGCGCCCCCGAAGCGCACAGAGATCAGGGTCCCTCGACGGCAGGGCCCTTCTGGGTAGTCTCTGCATCCCGCAAGTCCAGTGCAGCCCTGGGCTCGTCTTATCCCAGGTCTTTTCACTTGGTGAAACTGGGCCTAGAAATGTCCTAATATTCTACCACTGTTTTTATAAATATTCCTCATTCCAGGCTGGAAAAGTTCCTGAGAAGTGGTTTGTTTTTATTATTTTAAAAGGTGTTTTTCTTGCCAGTCATTTCCAGTTACCTGCGCTGCTGCCGTCCGGGCCGCGAGAGGGAGGCGCAGAGTTGTTGGTGGAGCCCCTGTCGGTCCCCGGGGACTGAGCACCGCGTCCCATGAGCGGGAAAGCTTAATACAGTAATGGTTCTGCCCTGCGTCCCAGACCCTCGGAACACAGCTGTAGTGTGTCAGGAACACATAACGTAGTTAAGATCACTTGAAGCTCTGCGATCAGTCGCCCTTCTGGACGTTGTGGTTGGGATGTTTCGCAGTTCTAACCACCGGTGGAGATACAGCGTCCATATTTTCATAATTAAAAATAGAGGCACATGGTCTCACGAGTTTGAGTGTGGTTATGGGAGCAAAAGGACGGCGTATTTGAAATCTTCGTAAATCCTGGATGCATGGTACCCACCAGTGGCTAATCTATGTAATGAATAAAGAGTTTGCAATAATTTCAAGCATCCCTTTTTCCACTTGAGTTACTTCTCCATACCTAGGGGAAGATTTTTTTGGTCCATTGAAAACATGAGTTCAGCAGAATCCTCCTGTCATCGTCGTTATTATTTTTTACTACTAAGTAGACAATCTTGGTTTTTGATGGGCTTTATGGTTAGAGACAAATCAGTCACTGTCACCAAGTTCCAGGTAGAAGTTGGTTCAGTGCTCTGTCAGCTTCGATGGGATTTTTCAACATGTTTTCAAATCCGCTCATGATAGTAGGAATGCTTTCTTACAGTAACTCTAATTTGATCCTAAGATGTAGTTGTTACCTTACATTCATCACTGTTTAAGAATTTAGTGGTCTTGATCTTTGTTTTAAATTTTGAGCCTTCGAGAAGTATTTATAAGAATTAATTCATGTTACCTTACATTCGTCACTATTTAAGAATTTAGTGGTCTTGATCTTGTTTTAAATTTTGAGCCTTCAAGAAGTACTTATAAGAACTAATTCATGCATATCTTTTTGAAATGTAAATGTCTTTAGCCCCGGAACAAATTGCTGTTTCTGTTCAGCCCATATTAGAATAGGTCAACTTTGCTTTCTAATTATCAATGTAATAAGTTTATGACTTTATAGATTCTATAAATCTATACATTTATTTCTTGATGAATTATATAAATTTATATAATTTATGTTTTGTAGAAAATTTGGAAAGCATGGAAAATTGTTAACAGGAAAATAAATTACCCATAATCCCAGAACTTAGAGGTGACTAATATTGACAGTTTGGATCAAATCTTCCAGTTTTGTTTCTAATCTTCATTTTTAACAGAAATGAAGTCCTATATACACACATACAGTTTTGTGTCCTAGTGTTTTTATTTAATGTTATTATGAGTGTTTTATTTTGTTAAAAGGTCATCATTTTAAGTTGTTAATTAGTATTCTAGCACAAATTTGCCATAATTTATTTAACTGTTCACTATGATTGACTATTTAGATTGTACTTAATTTTTAGGCATTAGAAGTGATAAACTGTATTTTAATTAAACGTTGAAAATAACACATCTTTGTTTAGAAAACATCATTTTTATTTCTTGTTGTCTAGGATAGATTCCCAGAATTCTTGGGTTAGAGGCCATAGATAATTATGAAAGCCGAAAGGTTCACAAATTGGGAGTTAATACTTGAATTACTTTATTTGGGGTGAAACATTGAGTACATAATACAGATCATGCAGTAATGGGAAGAGGAGTTGGAACAATGGTTTTCTGGCCTATGTAAGACTTACCTTGAAGCTTTTAAGAATACAGATGTTCTGTTGGGAGGCCGAGACGTGCGGATCACGAGCTCAGGAGATCGAGACCATCCTGGCTAACACGGTGAAACCCCGTCTCTACTAAAACTACAAAAAAAAAAAAATTAGCTGGGCGTGGTGGCGAGCGCCTCTAGTCCCAGCTACACGGGAGGCTGAGGCAGGAGAATGGCGTGAACCCAGGGGGCGGAGCTTGCAGTGAACCGAGATCCCGCCCCTGCACTCTAGCCTGGGCGACAGAGTGAGACTCCGTCTCAAAAAAAAAAAAAAAAAAAAAAAAATACAGATGTTCTGATCAACCCTCTGACCTATTATATCAAAATCTTAGGGAATAGACTTTAGGCATCTCTAATTTTAAAAAATTTATTCAGGCTGACTTGGATGCACAAAAGAGTTGAGACCTACTATCCTAGAATCATAGAATGTTAATGACCATAGAGACCTTAAGCATCTAGGTTATTTCTGTACGTTTACACGTAAGGAAAATGGCATTCCTAGGCCAGTACCATTGCCATGCAGCTAATTTGCCCTCTTGTCTATAGCTCACTCTGCGTCACCCAACCTACCCTTCTCACTGTTTCTTCTATAACCAATCTCCTTCCCACTTCTGTTCTCTTACTCATGCCATTCTTCCCTCAGTCGTTTTTCTTCCTTCCATACAAATTCCATGTCTTTGAAAAGAGCATAATCCTACCTCCTCCACATAGCTTTCCAGTTCTCTGTTGCCCACGTTTGTCTCCCTTTAAATACTTCTCTGTTGTGTTACGTGACACATCACATTTGATATACTTTGTTCTGTTTCAAGTATTGTATTCTCTTGTTTACTCAAGTCATTATTTCAGGACTGACTCCCCAGTAGATGCTTTAAGTCAGGATTTCTCAACCTTGGCACTGTTGACATTTTGAGTTGGATAATTTTTTGTTTTGGGGGCTCTCCTGTACATTTTAAATGTTTAACAGCACCCTTGGTCTCTATCCAGTAGATGCCTGTACTGCCTCCCCCTATTTGTGACAACCAGAAAGGTCTTCAGACATTGTCAGATGTCTACTAAAGGACAAAATCACCTCTGGTTGAGACCACTGCTTCAGCTAAGTTACCTTCTCTGTACTCAGAACTTGATGTGATTGCAACAGAGAAAGAGGATTCATATACACAGTGAATGCAAATGAACCTAAATCACCGTTCGGATATGGCCACACAATTTTCATTTCCCTTGTGTTAGCAAGAGATACCCCAGGCTTTGGACCTGGACATTCCTAAGGCATTCTGATGGATGGTTTTACCTGCAGATTTCCTGGTAATACTGATACCTCAGTTTGGGTCAAAGAAGGTCAGTTAATTGATTGATTTGATTTGACTCCTGGAGAAGAGGCTCCTTTCTAGCTGTCTCTTTCTTCTCTTTACCTGAATAGTCAGGGCTCTGTGGTTCCAGTGAAGTATTTTGACATAAAAATTAGAACATTGGTCTGCAAAGTTTGCTAAATCTAACTGAGCACATATTATGACTTTATGGAGCTGGTTACTCCTTTTTGACCAAATAAATAATTAGAAGTATTTTTCCTCCTCAATAATGTTCATTTCTCTGTTTTTTCAGTGAGCTGGTAGAGTTTCCTTTTTTTGATATTTCAGGGCATCTCTCATATTTCCATCTCTTAAGTTTCTTCATATGAAGTAGAATTGATCTGGATTATGTATTGCTGACTCTGATGAAAACCCACAGAAAGTATCTGGGACTTGATCACCTTCATTCTTGTAATAGCTTACACGGTTACAGCTGACATAGTAACTGAAGACTTTTGACTCCAAGGCTAGGCAAAATACACTCAGTTGAAAGAATTTGTCAGCCAGAACAGTTGGACTGTTTTGTGAAAATTGTGCGAAAAATTACACAACTAAGTGATACATGATGATGGCTTTCTTAAATATAAAACTGTAATAATGTGTTTAATTTCCAGTACGTGATATTGTCCCAGAAGTGACTCCAACATTGTTTGAAATTTGTCTCATATAAAGAAACATAAACTGGCTGCGGTGGCTCATATCTGTAATCCCAGTACTTTAGGAGGCAGAGGTGGGCAGATCACCTGAGGTCAGGAGTTTGAGACCAGCCTGGCCAACATGGTGAAACTCCGTCTACTAAAAATACAAAAATTAGTTGGGCATGGTGGTGGGGGCCTGTAATCCCAGCTACTTGGGAGGCTGAGGCAGGAGAATTGCTTAAATCTGGAAGGTGGAGGTTGCAGTGAGCCGAGATTGCACCACTGCCTTCCAGCCTGGGTGACACAGCGAGACTCCGTCTCAAAAAAGAAAACGCAAGAAACATAAAGACTGGGCGTGTTGGCTCATGCCTGTAATCCCAGCACTTTGAGAGATTGAGGACTGAGGTGGGAAGATCACTTGAGCCCAGGAG